CGTTTTGTTTATTTGTTTACATTACGATGTTTATGTTTTTTCTGCAAGATATTTTTGGCGGAAACGGTAAAGCAATGCGGATTGCGGAAGTTGAAAATTTTATGAAATGACATGTTTGCGAAGTGCAAACCGCAAGATTTCATACCTACTGAAATTATATGATATTAGAGCCGCGATATTTCAGACAAAAATAGGACTTTTCCAGACTAGAATGTAAGGTCAAGGTGGCCAGGCTGATAAAGATTTTCAAAAGACTCAAGTACTCAAGCTAAACTGCTAAAAGGCCTACTCTACAGCCTGGTCCGACTTGGAAACAAATTGCTAATGAACTTATTTAGTCTAATTGAAAGCTCAAAGTGTTTCAACCTTCATTCTTGATTCTTTCAAGTGCAACTTTAATTCTTGATTCCTTCCTATTTTTATCCTTTCTATCTCAACTTAAATTTTTGGTTGGAAAAAGTGGCAAAGGTATATTGAAATTTTGAAAATAATATATGAATAATCATTTTTAGAATTCAATATTGCTTGCCGAATGCTTCTTGCAGGCACTTGGCTCGTGCTTAAATCTCATATCCTACCTACTTTATAAAATATAAATATACTCTATCTATATTATATAATATAGCACGGAAATCAAAAATGAGCGACGGCATTTGTTGTTTTAAAATACACAAATTTCATGAAACTGCCACATTTTTTTCAATAAAAACATTAGGTACTACAAATATTAATCAAAAACTTACTTAATCGAACAAATGCCGACCCTTCGACGGATCGACGCAGCTTTATTTCTTCTCACAGGGGCACTGGAAACTGGACCATCGTCCATGCAGCTTCAGACGCTTAAAATCACATGTTGTGCCTAACGCCTAAAATACAGATCCGGAACTCATGGTTGAACGGGAGCGCAGCCGTGGGTAACAAATTTGACTCGTAAACAGGCCCTGGGCCCAACGCTAACCAGCAGCATACAATATCTACACATAGCCTCAGATCAATGAGCTATGGGTAACTCCGAGTCTCCGGCTAACAGCAAATCCGCTTTGCACAACACAGCCACTGCTCCACAGCGCAACAGGCCCTACCGCAACAGGCGGCGCAGGTTAGGTTAGGATAGGTTACGTTAGGAGTTGCTGTTGCGGTAGGGCCTGTTGCGCTCCGGCCAGTTGTGTTCCGGCCTGTATGCGCTCCGGCCTGTGACTGAACGGCGCTGTTGTGGTGAGCGCTTTGTGTCAAAAGCCGTGAAGATGCCCGGCTGCGTTACGCTCGGGAAGGTATATGAAATATGAATCGCACTGTGAACTTGGGCTATGCTGACCTCTAGCTATCCACCCTGGTTGAACTAGTATATAGTTCAACAATGCCCGGAACTAATTACCAAAATCCTGTTACACCGGGCCACGATCATAACAGCTACGTAACAGTGGCAAATTATCATAAATTTCCGCAGAACCCAAAAATTTTCGCTCAACATTTTTTAATTTACCATACATATTTCATCAGTCATGTGATCTTGGACCAATATATCTGGCTGACGGCTGTCATAAAAGCTCATTTTTTCGGAAGAACTTATCACAGTTTACCTAATCGTTCAAAATGCCCGGGCAATATATAGAATTTTACAGCATTCTATCCCATGATTCTATCCAGTCAAGTCTGCATTGATAATAGCTCTTGGTTAAAAAAAAACGAATTTTTGATGGTTACAATGCATCGTTATCATCCGATAACCATTAGCCAATTAGTGAAAATTGCATCATTATGTTGTATGGATACTGCTCATTGTTTTCAATGGGATCGGTAAAATGGTTGGAACCTAAACTATCCTAATTAAAACCGGGAGTATGTAAAAATATCCTCGCCACATTGAAATGAGCATTAGAACTGTGCACTTAATTTCCTAATTACTGGTTACGAATTGCGGAAAAAAGCTTGTCGAAGCGGCTGATTTAACCCGCATAGCCATTTTAATTGAAAATGGCAGGAGGTAAAAATGCGAAAAAATTGTTGCCTCGGAGCATTGCGCATTAGTAACTGTGCATTTAATTTTATACTTTTTGTTCCGAATTAGGGGAAAATAGCGTCCCGAAGCGGCTGAATTAATCTGTTTTACAATTTTAATTGAGAGAAGGAGGATGTAAAAATGTGTAAACATTCGCGGCGGCCACAACGGAAGGAACATTAAAAAATATGGCGTGCCAGAAAATGATGGCACACGTACAAATATGTAATAATAATTATAATAGCGGTTTGCATCGTTGGTTAGGCCGTAGGCCCGTCGCCGATTAGTAAAATAGCATAACATTAAGGGGAGCGTCTGGGTGGTGGAAAAACTTTTTTATTTACGGGCGGATCACTTTGAAGTTTTGAACACCTATGTAAAACAGAATTCTAAGACTTTTTTGTTCGTGCCAATTTTTCGAAAAAATGAAAGGAAACGTGAAATTCTTAGTAAACGGCAAAAAGGGGGTACTATAGAAATCTATCTCCTCCTAGGATTTTGAAGCTACAACATCGAGACGCATATCATTCGATGCGTAAGGACCATATCTATCGATTTGTCTTCGCTTTTTTTTCGAATTTTTGTGTTTTTGTGGATGGGGGAGAATTTTTTGTAAAATTTAAATTTTCAAAACTATAACGAAATTGAAAACACGCAGAGACAAATCTCTAGATATTTTAATTGCGAATTGAATGGTATTTCTCTCACTGCTGTAGCTTCAAAACTGTAGGAGGAGATAGTTTTCCAGTGACAATAAGTGTGATTGTTCAGTAGAGCCCGACAAAGTCCCGGGCGCGGCACCTCGATGTCGGCATTCCAGGTTGCAAGGATGCAAGATCAGACGATAATGGAGCTAAATCTCTGTCAAGGATCGTGGGAACGACAGGGTGCAACCATCCCTCATGACTGTTGAAGGGTAACTGGAGCGGAGAGTGTGAGGCATTTACTCCCTATCTTAAATGGTAAAGAACTCCACCAACACTTGTCCTTTCGTGATGTGTCGAGAACGCATAAATCAACGTACAGAGATGGTTTTGATACCGTTGGATAGGTCAGAAAGTCAGCTTTAAGATGAGACTAAAAACCGGACAAGCCAAAATTGTCGACTTTGGACACAGACGCTCCCCTTAACAGCTTGTGGCGGTCTCAAAAAAAAAAAAAAAAAAACTCACAACGCACAGAGCTTGCATTGAACCCGCACCTGTCTCCTTCAGTCTTGGTACCCTGGGATTGTAACCACTGGGCCAGCATGCGGGTCTTACGCAGGAGCTCATGTTATTGGCGCTAGCAACCACTCACTTCTGTCGAATTGTTCATTATTACGAATTCCATTTCTATCAATTGTTTCCCAAAAAAGGAAGAAAATTGTTTCCTCGTTTCTTTTTACAACTTACGACATCATGCATATTTTTATCAGATTTCAAGCGGTAATGACTTATGTATTTACCCATAGGTAATCACTTCCGGGTTCGCATTGTCTAAAATCTAAATTGTACAAACATTGACACAGAGCGCCCCCACAAAACGCCGTGCTGCATAAGTCTCGATAATTTCTTAACGACCTTATTCCAATCACGTCAATGACGTTATTCCAATGAGTTGCCTGACTTCTGAGTGTAATTTAGAGCATCTTCACATATTATGTGACAGTATTGTGACACTCGGCAAATTTTTGCTCCCAAAATTGTTGATATAGGCATGATATTAAGTTTTTCACTCGGGACGTTAGTGTTTTCTAGCTTTGCAATGATACAATCGGACAGCGTGTAAAACTGATACGGTAATACCTAGTACCTGATACCAAAAAGTTAAGTGCCACACCTTACAAGTCGGCCATGTAGTAGCTTTGCAGCAAGTCTGAGTTTTCATAACCGGGGGGGATGTAAGTGACTGAATTTTTTGTCCTTTATCATATTGTTACGAACGCTAAACGCCAAGCTTTATCCACGAACGCCATCCAAGTTTTTCAACTCAAAACCTATTTTGATCTAATTGACGAAAGAATTTATTCACAAGAACCTCCAGCGAGCACGTCTTGGAATTGTTGAATAAGCCTCGGCATATTTTTGCGTTATGTTTGCAAATAGTGCGTTAATTTTAAAGTTTTAGCATCCTTTGGACGCCTAACTAATTAGCGCATTACGTGAAAACTAAAGGGACAAAAATGATTCTGATAACATTAGCCGGAGTGTAATGTCCATATTCCTTCTTATTAAAGTTGTAATCGTTTTGATTAGAAAAACTTTTACGTGGGGAAGCTGCGAAAATCTAGTCTTCAGTACACAAATCTGACAATGCTCGTATGAGCGTAACGCACTTGTTTTCAATTAGTCAAAAATCGCTTTCGATTTAGAAAATCTATGCGTTGATAACGTGCTACAATTTGACTGAATCGAGTTTTCTCAGAACTCACCCGCGAACTCGCCACAGGACTCACAAGTGTCGATTCGGTTGAAATTGATCCCATAGGTTACGGAACAGTCATCAAAATTCACAACATGTTTTCTGGATAAATATCTTGGAAATATTGTTTTAGCATTATTATTATTTTAGTGTATATATGGCAATGTAAAATTATTGAACTTGATATGAATTTTATTCCACGCATTTAGGCAGCAGTAGTTGATCGGGAAATTTAACGGAAAACCCCAATTAACAAATCTTATTCGAAAATAATATTTAATTATTTTATTTTAATTGAGTAAATGAAAGTGCTAGCAAGATATTGCGATTTTCTGATTTTTCGGCTTTGAGTACGTTTTATTTCGATTTGACGCAGCTCGGATCGTCAAGATTCTGGCAACATCTGAGTTTAGCGTAAACATCGTTTTCGTGTTGCGGGAAGCTTTTTAAGACACCGTAATGGTGAGTGCTTTCATTTTTGAATAAAAATAAATATTAAAAATGTAAATTCTACGTTAGTGTCGGGTATAAATGTATTTAAATCTGTGTCTGATGTTCTTTGTTACCGCAACATTAATTACAGTTGGACGTTGGTACCGTTTGATATCGTAGTAAAACATTAGGGCTACGTGATTATTCTTTCAAAGTTTAATACGTAGGCTATGAAGTCTCATTTAATCATAATGTATTTTGCATCATGAGGCCAACTGAAAGTTCTCCTGTATTAAAAATGATATAATTTTATGTGCTATAATAATTATTTTTTCTACAATGATCATGCAAATGTAAAGGCAAAGCCTGAGTCTGAAACGCTTTCTTTCCTAGAGTTGAGGCCGAGCTGTTTCAAGCTTCTTTCCAATAAATGTACTACCTATAATTTATACACGATATTTAGCTGCAATACTTTTGGGGCCCAAAATTTTGTTGAAGAAATGGCAACAGGAATCAGGAAACTTACTACGAAAGTCTCCAGCCTCTCCTGTTACAGAGGCTGTTAGGCTGTTGGTCATTACGAATAGGTATGAAGGAATTAGAAGGATGATGATTGATGATCCTAATTTGTAGGTAAGTAGGTAGGGCCTACCTAGGTTGTGTGCAGTTTTTATTGTGCACTAAAAATTTTTTACTCTGATCTTAAATCTTAATGAAAATTATACAGTTGAGAAGAGAAAAAAAATTAAAAATTTTCATATAAATGAGTGTAAACTGTAATGCAAGTAAAAGTGAGAGATAGCTATGTAGTTTTTCTCTTTATTAAATTATTTATGTCTTCAAAGTGGACCAATTTTTGCAACTATTTTTGGAAAAACTATCATATCTAGGTTTTTTTATGAGCTTAATTCAAAGTCTTAGTAGGGTAAATGCGGTATATTCCGACATCGTGGGTAATTCCGTGATTTTCCGTCACCTCTCTAGTTTTTCCTTTGTATTAAGCTTTGTTAATTGTTTTAGTTCCATGCGTTCGTTGATGGTTGAAATGGTGACGTCATACATTTGCGCGTCAAACCATAGTGGCAAAGCAGAGAGTTTTTTAGACTCACTCAAGTTCAACTTCAATTTTGAGTCCTCCAAGTAGACCAGTAAAGTATCATGGATACCAGCATTATCATACATAAGAAATTGGTTCAAATACAGCAATCCCTTGATTAGCACGGTTTTGAATACCGCGGTTTTGATTAACGCGGAAAAAAAATTTGCGACCTACCCTTAATCTACGCGGTGCCAGTTTTGATTAGCGCGACTTTTTTTCAAGTGTGACGGTAGCGTCACATGTTGTGAACTCGTTCGAACGACGTTCGATGGAGTAGGCGCGCCGCTACTGCCAGTTCAACACAAAGACTGCGCGTGATCTGAAAAGTAATTCAGATTGTTTTTTCACTTTCAAAACATAATTCAGTGCATAAAGGGCTAGTTACTCGTTAGCCTTAAACTGGTCAAGATCCCTGACATATCTACTGCTCACTTTTATCAAACTACATAATTTTCCTTTCCTTTGCTACTTTTAAGGATTCATTATAATTATTCCCATATATTCTTAAGTTTGATTAGCGCGGTTTTGCTTAACACGGTAAAACTCGGGGATTTATTAACCGCGTTAATCAAGGGATTGCTGTATTGAGTAAATGAGGATGTTAAAAATGAACTAATTCTAAAAAATCTCTGTTTTGCCACTATGCGTCAAACTACTGCCAAAACACTAGGTCTTGGCCACCTAGTGGGAAAATATTGAGATCCAAAGAGAGACAATCATGGTGGCAATCTAGGATTTGGGGAAACCTCTATTTGGACTCGTTCACTTATAATCACATCACTCGTTCACTTTTCATCATTTGAAATACCACTTCTGTAATCATGTTGATCTGTTAGTACGTGAATTTGCATGACGAATGGAATAGCGCCTTATTAAAAGTTCATTATTAAATGATACACTACACGACTACAAATTCTTGACCTGGTCTATATTGAATTACTGCAAAATGTATGCCAGTGTGTCACTGCATGGTACGATTTAGACGTGCAATTAGCCGTTACATAGTGATCGCGGATTAGAATGTTATTTTCCCGCGCTGCGGAAGAAAGTACGAAATTAATTGCAGCATAAGCACTAACCTCCGGCAGCATAATCATGCCTTCTAATCATTCCCAACCGTCATATCAGTTCGCTTATTCAATCATGTTATTACTTGTAAAAATTTTCCTGAATATAGGTAATAAAAATGACAGCATCAAAAAAATTGCTTGTGCGTTAGCATGCACTATTGCCATCCCGTTTTGACACGGCCCATTCATTCTATTCATAATCAATATTTATGAAATTAAATACATAGTTTTCAATGCCAATTGCGTTGTGGTGTGGATATTTTTTCATATTTCCTCTCCTCCCAATTTAAATAGTTTTGGCTAAATTTGGCTAGGTTAGGTTCCACTCTTTTGCCGTATTAATTGAAGATGAGAGGACGTGAATATAAAAAAACATCGATACTGCTCAATGAGTATTTACATGTCTGCATTAAATTTCATATCTATTGCTAACGAATGGAGAAAAAAATCATGCCGAAGTGGCATCAAGATGGCTACGCTATGCCACGCTTATGGGGTGGCCCACACAATTCTGTCAGACCAGTTGTGTCGACAATTTTAGGATGATTTTTTTGGAAATAATTTTCATAGCAGGTATAATAAGCATAGGGTAAACGCGGTATATTCCGACATCGTAGGTAATTCCGTCACCTCTCCAGCTTTTACTTTATATTAAGCTTTGTTTTAGTTCCATGCGTTTGTTGATGGTTGAAATGGTGACTTCATGCATTTGCGAGTCAACATACTGCCATAACACTAGGTCTTGGCCATCTAGTGGGAAAATATTGAGATCCAAAGAGAGACAATGCATGCCACGTGGTGAGATCATCGAAAAATGTGTCAAATTTGACAGTTGACATGACGGAATATAGGGATTTGGTAGGTTTCCATTCTAAAGGCTTTTTAATAAATATGGCAACATTTTGTGACGTTTCATTGTTGCTGACGCGTAGTGAAGTATTTTGAGTCATGTGAAGGCAACAGAACTTACGTAACGCATACGGTTTTTTTTTATAGTTTTTCATTTCTCGATGCATCCTTAATGTGTCGGAACATACCGCGTTTACCCTAATTGAGTAAATTCAATCATGATAAAGCTAAGAAAAAAGCTATATACAGACAATATTTTTTGCAAGCGCTGTCAAAATTCATTTCATATTTAACTAGCACGATAAAAGCAAATTTGTAGCACGTTTCATGCACATAAGTTTTTATAATCGAAACCGAGCTTAACCTTTCCAACAACAAAGCTATTTATTCAAAATACACTACTGCATATATAAGACCTCTCAGACACTTTTACAACCGGGCTCGCGATCTACAAGTTTCAGTAGCCTAAAATATCTCCCAAACTAATGAATGCAGCTCAATGAAACTTTGCACGCGTCTTCACTAACATTGATGTTTAGGTCTTGATTATTTTTTGATTTCGCCTTTAATTAAAGGTACACAAAAAGCCTGTGCATGAGGATAGGAGATATGTTAGGCTCACTGTGAATTTAGAACCGTATAAGGCGCTACGAAGGTGAAATTGAAAAAAAAGATCATGACCTAAAAATCATTTATTTTAACATTTGCTAAGTTCATTATAGTTTGGGAGATATTTTAGGCTTAATGAGGAAAACTAATTAATGCGGGGAAGAAGTGAAAAAATGATCATTTATCACGTTCATTCGCTTGAGGGCATCGCGAATGAATAGTTTCGTTTGTAATTTGGTAAAGATCGCTTTTAATTTCATAAAATGTGTGGAAAACATGCCATGAAAATTTGTCATGAAAGTTTATCTTAAAAATTTGTTCACATAGTGTCGGATCGATATATCATTTGGGAAAAACCCCTCAACACGGTGTTTGCTCTAAATCAGGAATTAAATAGAAAGCGGAATCGGGAAGGGAAATCTGGATAGGCAAGCACTTGAATGTCTCCACCTATGACAAACACGCCAGTTATTTCTTTTCTGAACAAGAGAACGTAAGCTAAAATATGAACTTAAAGTCCGAACGGCCAATCATAGCTCGATGCGTGTTGTCGATATATGTGTTGCCAGCTGCAGCCAGCCAGCAGTGCGTTTTGAACTGGCGCCGCGTATGGTTGTTGATGCATGTGCTTTCAGTCATGTCTGTTGTCTGCCTCGATTCTACTAGCGTATGAGTCAGAGGTGTCTGGTGCGTAAAAACTAAAATTTTTTGTTGACTGATTTTAATGAATTGTATTATGATTGTTTAACATTCGCATTCATAAATTTAGTCTGCAATGCATAGGCTTAATTTGCGTTCAGAAATGGGATGTTTACCCTAAAAAAAACGTGTTCTCGATTGCCACTATGGAGACAATGCATGCTACCCAGTGAGATCATCAAAAAATGTCAAATTTGACAGTTGACCTTGCTCTACCATATAGTGAATAACTGTTTGTATAGGAAGAATATTATGGTTTGAGACTTTTAAATACGTCTGTTAACATGGTGGCAGGGAATTATTGTGAGTACTTATCTGTCCACCGCCGTGCGGCAGTCTTAACCTTTCGCAAGGCCCCATGCCCTTGGCCCTTGGGCCCCTCTTGCAAGTTGCAATGGTCTAAACTCAACAGTTTGACCCCATGGTCTCATCACAACTCCCTTTAGAAATGTGTGGAGTTTTGAAATTGATAGTAATAAATCAATAAATATTTGAACCGGGAAATTCCTTAGTTACTTACGTTGGTTCCACAATGATATCAATGACGTATAAAATGACAATGACATTGGTTAAGCTTCAGCCATGATTCTAGCTCTTCTATGCCTAAGCAGAATAATATATTGTTATTATTATAGTTATATAGTAAATATACTAACAATAAAATAGTTCCTTTGATGGCCACTGCTGGCGCTAGCATCTGGATG